CTCTTCTTCTCGCCCTCAACAAGACTGAGCAGTGATAGTGTTAAATGGAGATACCCTTGTGGCCAGAAACTGAGCACTGAGGAGCTCTGGGCATCCCAGAGAAAAGCAGAACAAGCAATTATGATTGTATCAGAAGTTGAAACAAGGGAAACGGGATGACGACTCAGACACACCTCGTTTCATTGAGGATGGGTGTTCGCTTATTACCTTATCCAAGGAGGGAGCGTGGTTTCCATCATGGAATGTTTTAGACCCAAGCTGAGTGCTTGTCAGGAAAGTGGTGCCCTATTCAAGTACTTGGGACTCACGAGTTGGACCTGATGGGGCAGTGATGCTGCTGATACAGGGTGGTTGTTCGGGCCTTGTTGGCTTTGAATCTGCTGGACCAGAGCCCTGCTGAGCATGTGCTACGCAGGCAGCTACAGTTTGCTCTTGCTGGTTTCCAACATTCTCTACTCAAGCTTTATTTCACTTGCTCCTTAATGCTGAGAAGTTCTGTACCTCTTTTGCACGTGTTTATTAGGACCTGTCCATCCAACTGGCACGTCTGTCTTTGTGTGGATGAACGGAAGATCTTGCTCCATCTTCTCCAGAAGAACCTTTGCTCTTTGTGGCGGGTTTTCAGTCCTAGATAGAGTTAAAGCCTTCCAGGCCCTCATTTTCCGCGTGAGCATGGGTTAGACATGTAGCTTGTGTTGTGCTGCAATGAGCCAAGCAGGAAAGGTTGCCAGGTCTCTGAAGGTAACAGGAATCTCTTTAACCTGTCTTGGGCTCTTCGGTGAGCTCAGCTTGATTTATAGGTCCAGCACCTTTGGATGTGTATGGGGAGTTCTGGATGGGGCTGGCTGGGGCCTGTGCTCCTCAGCAGCCCCATCCTTGCAGATGGCCAGTAGTAAAGCTGTTGTAGCTGTGGGTGAGAGGAAGGGTTGGCCTGAACCACTCACTTAGAGTCAATGAGGACTTGAGTCTCTTTAAGCATTCATTTCAAGCTGTGTTTGGATCAGAGGCAGCTGCTCCTTTGAAAGCACTGGCTGGTGCGACTGGAGGATGGGGCTGCTCGTCACTGCCAATGCTGCTCGAGGGTTGCACTAAGGGGCTCTTGGACCTGTTGTTTGAGCAGCAGTAGCTGGATGGTTTCATGTCTGGGCAGCAGATGCTGAGGGTGATGCATCCATCCCCAGCATCCCTCCAGGCTGGCTCACAAGCAGCTGGAAAACCCATGGAGCCAAATACGTTGTTATCTGCAAGACGCGCTTGTGCGTCGGTGCCTTCCTGCTGCACGTTGAGAGCCTCCCTCTGCTCTTTATCTTGTTTCCTTTAGGTGGAGGCAGATCTCACAGCGTGGCACTCGGCACCGTGCATGGCAGGGCCACAGCTTTCCTCAGGAGGTGATCTAAGCCCAGCAGTTCCTGTTGTGTTGAGCCAGGCACGGGTTGCCTTTTGCCAACATCCAGTGCGCAGAAACCTCGCACTGATCTCTCCTCCATTCAAACAGAGCAGTGGTTGCCCTGCCCTGCGCCCTGCAGAGCCCTGGACCGTGGTCATAAGGGGAAACAAGTCACAAGAGGGATGTTCAACCCGGCCCATGGTCCCTGCAGGTGGGAGCGCTCCTGCTCCAGGTCAGGGCTGTCCCTTGGCTCTGATCCCTTCTCCCACCAGCATGAGAACACTGGGGACCTGCTGGAGCGAGTCCAGAGATGCTGCGAGGGCTGGAGCAGCTCTGCTCTGGAGCCAGGCTGAAAGAGCTGGGCTGGGGCAGCCTGGAGAAGAGAAGGCTCCTGAAGGGGAGACCTGAGAGCAGCTCCAGTGCCTAAAGGGGCTGCAGGAAACCTGGAGAGGGGCTTGGGACAAGGGCCTGTAGGGACAGGCCAAGGGGAATGGCTTGAACCTGCCCGAGGGGAGACTGAGCTGAGCTCTTAGGCAGAAGCTCTTCCCTGTGAGGGTGCTGAGGCGCTGGCACAGGGTGCCCAGAGAAGCTGTGGCTGCCCCATCCCTGGCAGTGCTCAAGGCCAGGTTGGGCACAGGGGCTTGGAGCAAGCTGCTCCAGTGGAAGGGGTCCCTGCCTGTGGCAGGGGTTGGAGCTGGAGGAACTTTAGGGTCCCTTCCAACACAAAGCAGGCTGTGGTTCTGTGATGCTGTGGAATTCCCCATGCTCTGCAGGGGACCAGTGGTGTCTGCCCCAGTCCATAGGAAACATTCGCTGCTGGAACCGCTGCTGGAGGGGCTGAGCTTTAACAAGTAACTGAGGAGAAAACGTGTGTAACTGGAGAAGACCCAACAGAACCTCAGGGAACGGTGAACGAGTTCCTTGGATTCGTTTCACACACGGCGCCTGTCCCTGGAACTTTGTCCCAGCCCTGTTGCCCAGTGCGGGTCCCTGGCTCAGTGCTGCAGCCCTTCAGGCTCCCCTGGGACCCCCCTCGTGTGGGGCTGTCCTGTGCCTCTGCTCACCTTTGTCTTCTTTCCCTTTACCTCTTTCCTGTCTCTGTTGTTTCCTGAAGCAGGAGCACCAGGAGCTGGATGTGCTGCCAACTCAGGAGCGTCACAGCAGCCCTCGCTGCATCCCTTCAGCTCCAATCCCAGCACGGCCCCCATGGGATGCTGCTGCCAGGCTCCCGTGTCAGGAAACCTCCCTGCTTGACCTTCGCCTCTGTTCACTCTCCCCTTTGTGAGGGATCCAGAGGAGCGCATCCTTGCTCCTGGGCCTTTATGGCAGCAGGGACCTTGCTGCAGGCGCTCTGCACATGCATGTGTGTGCTGGGAGCGGGCCAGCATGCTCTGGTGCTCACGGGTTTGCTCTGGGCTCTGCTCAGAGGTGTGAGGGTGACTGCACAGAACAAACACCAGCACGTTCTGAGTGTGGCAGCTCCTGCCTCTGTTCCAAAGATGGAGCACGGGTTCTGTGCCTGGACCACAGAGCTGCTCCTGGGTACCAGCATCTCCTGCACGTGCTCTGCTCCTGGGAGGGTTTGCACTGGCTGCAGGGGATGCGCACCACTTACACTTGTGTGTTCACACCCACCGTGCTCCTGCACCTAAGGGGGACCTTTATCCACTCATCCCTTGTCTGTGAACCCTTTGTGTTGGCATAGGGCAGACAGCAACCAGTGAGGAGCCCTTCCTGCTTCTCCTGCTTGGCCTCACCCCCATCCACCTCCCCCTGTGCCTGTCAGCGGTGCTGACTCCATTGGGGCTGCGATTCCGCCCGTGCTGTGCAGGATTGTGCTCGATGCCGTTCCCATTCACAGGCAGCTCCCGTTTGCCAAAGGACACCTTGTGATAAAGGCTCCATCGGTTTGGCTGCTCCATCTTTCTGCGAGGGCACCTCAGAGGCTGTTTGTTCATTTGTGCCATGCATCTGCCCGTGGGATGTTACGCAATGCGCTCCCTGCTGCCTGCAGGCACATTCATTGCCTTTTCAGCTGCTCCTCTTTAATTTCCTTTCAACTCTTTCTCATTCGTGTGCTCCTCGATGAAGAATTTTGGGCTTTTTTCACTCTTAAGGGGTTGTTGAATGTCAGTTCTTTATTGTCATTACCGCACTTGAATAGGTTGAATATTGAATAGATCTTGTCTGTCACCCTGCTCACTGCTGAGGGCTGGATCTGAAGCTCTCTGCTCGTTCCTCCTTCATGCTCTAAAAGTGGAGGAGCTGGACGATTTGCTGTCAGGAGTTCCTCTGTTGTGCTCAGAGCTTGCAATGTATGGGAGGAATTACCCCTTGGAACTGCAAACCAGAGCGAGGAACTCATTCTGAGTGCTGTTCCCACCCTGCCCCAGGTCAGGGTGGCTCTGTGGGTGCAGTGCCATGCCGTGCTGTGCCATGCCATGCTGTGTGCCAGGCGAAGGGGCAGAGACCTTCCCTCTGCCTGCGAGTTTGGGATGGGACAGGGCAGTTTGGTGCCCTTTGAGTCAGCGTTGGTTTGAGTGTCCGGATGCTCGGGTTGGAAGCTTCTCACGCCCGAGAACGGCTGCCGGTGCCCGGCACTGCCCCAGCTCAGCCCCATTTCCTGACGGACTGGGACCAGCAGCGGGTGCAGCACTGCAATGCGGGTCCGGCCGGGATCGGTGGATGAGTGGAGCAGGGCACAGCCCTGGGGGGCACGGCAGGGGCGGGGGGAGGGGGGGTTCCCTTTGCCCCCAGCACAACCCCAGAGCACAGAACGGGGCTGAGGGCTGCGGCTTCGGGAGGAGCGAAACACGGAGTGAAGGGGAGGAGAAACGAACCCGGAGGGGAGGATGGGTCAGACACACAGCCCGGAGCTGGGAGGGGATGGGGGCTGCCGTGGGGACAGGCTGTTGTCCACGGCCTTTCCTGCCCTCCGGCACCAATGCAGGACCTGCAGCCCCGGCCCCGCAGCCAGCCCGGAGCGCGGTGGGAAGCGCAGCGTGGATGGAGGTGATGGGATGTGGGTACTGGATGAGCCGGGTCCCCCAGAGGAAGGGAAACTGGTTCCTGCGCTGGGAAACCTGCTGCGGTCACAGGGTCAGGTGGGGAATGGTGACTTCCATGCAGGAGGCAGAGGGACCTTCTCCATTCCTTCTTCCAATGGGAAGACCTCACTGGATGCCTTCAGCTCCTGCCAGGGCTCATGGTGCTGCTGCCCATCCATCCCTCTGTTGTCTGCACACCTCAGTGTCCACAGCGGAGAAGGCAAATGACTCTTTGCACCCCACTGGGGATTTTTAAGTGAAGTTTTGCTATTTTACTGTTATTAGGCCATAAAATGTTCTTTGATGCTTCTCAACAGGATGTTACAACATGGAGTGTTTGAATTTCCCTGAGCCCCACATAACATATCGGGGGGGGGGGGTTGGGAGAATCTGCTGAGCTCATCCTTCCCTAACCCTTTTCTTCTCTTCCTGTAGCTCAGTGACATGGAAGAGCTGGTGACTTTCCCATTTATCCTTCTCCTTGTTCTTCCTGTGCCAGTTCCTGGGAGGAGCTGTGAGACCCTTGGTGAAGCCCATCTCTGATCGCCCTCTGTGTCCCTCCACAGAAGTGTCTCCGGTTGAATCCAGATGTTCCCGTGTGGGTTTCCAAGCAGCGCATCCTCTGCACTCTGAACCACAGCCTGAAGGATGTTCTCAACTACGGGCTCTTCCAGCCAGCCTTCAACGGCCGCGCCGGGAAGTTTCTGGATGAGGAGCGCCTGCTGAGGGAGTACCCCCTGAACCCAGACACTCCTGTTCCCTACTTGGAGGTACTCAGCTTCTCTGTGCTTTGCTCTTTAAAACGCACATCCATCCATCCACCCATCTATCTATCTATCTATCTATCTATCTGTCTGTCTATCAATCTATCTCTATCTATCTATCTCTATCTATCTATCTATCTATCTATCTATCTATCTACCTACCTATATCTCTATTTATCTATCTCTATCTATCTATATCTATCTATCTTTCTATCTATCTCTATCTATCTATCTCTATCTATCTAGCATCTATCTCTCTCTCTCTCTCTATCTATATCTATCCGTCTATCTATCTCTATCTATCTATCATCTATCTATCTATCTATCACCTATCTATCTATCATCTATCTCTATCTCCATCTCTATCTATGTATCTATCATCTATCTATCTATCTATCATCTCTATCTATCTATCTATCCATCACCTATCTATATCTATCTATCTATCTATCTATCTATCATCTATCTATCTATCTAGCTAGCTACCATTTATTTCTTTCTTTCTATCTATCTATCTATCTATCTATCTATCTATCTATCTATCTATCATCTATCTCTATCTGTCTATCTATCTATCAACACATGGACATATATATTCAGGTACATATATGTTTGTGTAAGCATGTAGGGCTTCCCTGATCCCTGTAGTGTCTATAAGCACCTCAGACATCAATGCCCACTGTTCCCTCCCCCATTTCTCTCCCGGGACTGGGAGCACAGGATCCCGTGTGGGTGTGTGTTTACTCATGGAGAATTCACTGAGGGAAAGCCGAGGCAAATGCTCTGAGCTTTGGTTGCTCGTGACTGCTCGAGAGCTCCACAGCATCCCTCACAGCCCGCGGAACAGCTTCCTGCTGTGCTGGCCCTGGGGCTCACAGTTCCTTCCCTTCTAGTGCCCCGTGGCTGCCAGGAGGAGGGGAGCCAGTCTCGTAGGTACAGAGGGAGGGCTCTGAACGTGAGCCTGAAGGCCTTTAATGTTTAACTTACGGTTACTGCAGGGACTGGGGCACCCCCGTGTGCTCTGAGTGTCCCTGCAGGGGCCTCACCGGTGTGATGGGCACAGGGGATGCTCTGTTCTGATTTCTGGTCCAATTAACTAGAACACACATTAACTGAATTCATTCTGTATTTACAGCCAGTAATAGGCTTTGCCTTGGGCTGGGATTCAGGTGACCACAGGTAGGGGTTTATTCAACGAGGACCTGCAGCACTTGCTGGGCTCCAGTGCCTGTCACTGTGGACACCTCCACTGGCTGCAATGGGACTCCGCTTATCTGCACGTGGACTTCTAAACTCAGGGATCTTGTGCTATATTTTGCCCACAAAGTCTCTTTAGGAGGCTTTACGCATTTAAGCTGCACAAGCCCTTAACATTCAAGTGTGAGTGCTGTTATTTCACCTAATCCCGACTAATTTGGGAAGAAAGTGCAGCCCAATTTCTGAGCAAACTAACATTTAATGTAGACAAAAACATTTGGAACAACATTAGGAATGCTTGCAAATAAACCTCCGAGGTAGTAAATTCCTCAATATTCCACATACAGGCTTCAGTGCTTTGGGTTTGTGTAATTGAGCATCATGTCCACACTCGGTGTCTTAGCACACACATCTGAATGCAGACTTGACACAGGTATTTGCCGTGTGCCATTTAGATTCTTCATAACTTGCTCAGAATGGGAGCGGAGCACTGGAGAATCCTATTGGAAACCCAAATCCAGAGTCTTGTTTGCAAGACATAAATCCTGTGCTGACACCACTGAGGCGTCCCGAAGCAGTGATAAATGAGCCCTCGGGGTTGCAGATGGAGGTAATCACAGAAGTGAGGGCTTTGGGGCCATTGACAAGGGAATGGCATTAAGGAAGGTATGTGCAGTAGTTTCATGGAGAGTTAGGATGCTGGCGCTGCTGTGAGCCAGGGAGAGGTGCAGGGATTCCCCATTCCTTTATCAGGATAGAGTAGCTGCAGCACAGTGTGTTTGGGAGCAAGGGATGGGCAGCCCAGGGGCCTACCTGCCATCTGCTGAGATCCAGTCACCCCATGTCTGTATCCCATAATATCTTACTGGGGTTTATCTGCTGTCCCTGTGTCCTCCTCAGTGAGGTAGTTACTCTGCTTGCAGGTCAAACACACGTGTGTGTGCTCCCCATCACTGCTCATCACCCATTCAGTGCACACACCTTGTACATGGGAATGAGACCTGGAAGTTCTTGTGCCTGTTTGTCCTCCCTGCATCAACCTGGTCAATGGGCAGAGTAATCTGGGGCTGGGCATGAAGAGGAGCCACTGGAGGATGCTTCATGGCTGCACAGGGATGCACACAGGACCCTGACACTGGCAGCATCTGCCAAGGCCCAACTGGTGTCTGTACATCAGTGGGCAAGACAGCTTTTACCTTAGAATGATGGAAAAAGGAAGAAGTTGTGTGAGAGAACATCTGCCCAGTGCAGTGTGTGATAGACTGAAAATGTGCTGGTGTTTTGCCAGCGTTGAAAAGCAAGTGGGATGAGCTTAGTAACTGCAGTCCAAAGATAACGTGGTGTCAGTCCCAGCTGAACTAAGGAGACGCCGATGGAGGATTAAGTTAATAGTAACTGCAAATCTCAGAACACAATTCATGCATTGAGGGAAGATCTCGTCAAACAAATCCAATTTCATTCTTTAAGGAGCTTGTAATTCTGCTTGATGAAGATAACCAGACAAAGGTGGCAAGCAGCTGGGGGCCTTGGTTTTGTTGTACATGATATTCCAGCCCAGCATCAGCACTGTAAGCCATCCGTAGGCCAAGGGACACTGGCTGGGTTGATGGTAGAAAGCAGTTGTCACTGTGGTCACCGCTGCACAGGTTTGTTTCTGGTGGGGCTGCCCCAGGGATCTGCTGGTAGAGTCTGATTACACGGGCTTTGGCAGGGAGTGTAACAGCGTTGACTGTGCTGCCTGGGTCATTGGCTAAGTGTGGCTCCCATCAAAGCGTGCTCGAGGTCAGCCCAATGGCAAACATCCAGGGACAGGCACTCCCAGTGCGGAAACAAAGCTGATGAAGATTCCGGAGCCTTTTGGCCAAGGAACCTGGCAGCAATCCCCAGCGTGGCACACCAGGACCCTGTAACCCTTCCGTGTGTCCCCTGCCAAGCAGGGAGCTGTGCTCAGGAGCGCTAGGGGTGGAAGGGGTTGGTGTTGGAGCAGTGGTTGGGAACAGCGATGCCCCTGAAACAGCTTTGGGAAGAGGATGGCACAGAAAGAGCGCAGAAATGGTGTGAGGACAGAGGAAAAGATCCCTCAATGAGGGATTGAGAGCTCAGCCCACTGCAGGGGAGTCACCTCTCGACCTGTGTCAGAACTGTCCGTCCCATTGTCGGGGACATCCCTGGACATCCCACCCTGGAAGTTGAAGCCAGGCAGATTGGTATCAGAAACTGGTCCCAGTATCTTTAGTGAGGAAAGCAGTTAACTCCTAGAGCACATCCTGAGGAGAACAGTGACTGCTGTTTGCAGCTCTGGACCAAATGGCTTCTTTAGAATCATAGAATGGTTAGGGTTGGAAAGGACCTTAAGATCATCCAGTTCCAGCCCCCCTGCCATGGGCAGGGACACCTCACTCTAAACCATCTCACCCAAGGCCTCATCCAACCTGGCCTTGAACACCGCCAGGGCAGTGCTGCTGCTCGCTCCAGAGCTGGCTGATGCCAAGTGCGTTTTGAGCATCTCAGCTCTGCCATTCTTCCTCTTGCAGTTCCGGTACAAGAGGCGTGTGTACACCCAGACTCTGCTGGATGACAAGCAGTTTGCCAAGCTCCATACGAAGGTAAGCCTGGAGCCCAGCCTGTAAAGCCCTGGTGGGGTTTGGTGGCTGGGGGTGGGGGTGTTCTGGTTCCCCCTGCTTTGCCAGGCTCCCCAGGGATGATGGGGCTTGCTGAGCCTCGGGGGTGTGGGAGGGGCATGGGCTGGAGCCCCCATTGAGCCGTGGTGGGGTGGGCACACAGGGGGGGCACTCGCCAAGCTGGACTGGGCTCTGTGGGAGAGCTGGGAGCCCCGGGGTGGGGGGCAGAGGAACACGGGGAGGCTGCTGAAGAGGAGCATTGTTCGCTGGGGTGGAGGAGAGCACAGTGTGCAAAGGGGAAAGGGACCTGGGGGTCCTGGTGGATGGGAGGGTGACCATGAGCCAGCAACGTGCCCTTGTGGCCAAGCAGGCCAATGGCATCCTGGGGTGCATTAGAAAGGCTGTGGTTAGTAGGTCAAGAGAGGTTCTCCTCCCCCTCTATTCTGCCTCGGTGAGGCCGCATCTGGAATATTGTGTCAAGTTCTGGGCCCCTCAGTTCAAGAAGGACAGGGAACTGCTTGAGAGAGTCCAGCACAGAGCCACAAAGATGATGAAGGGAGTGGAACACCTCCCTTATGAGGAGAGGCTGAGGGAGCTGGGTCTCTTCAGCTTGGAGAAGAGGAGATTGAGGGGTGAGCTCATCAGTGTTTACAACTATGTAAAGGGTGAGTGTCAGGATGATGGAGATAGGGTTTTTTCAGTGATGCCCAGTGCTAGGACAAGGGGCAATGGGTGTAAACTGGAGCACAGAAGGTTCCACGTTAACATCAGGCAGAGCTTCTTTACTGTGAGAGTGCCAGAGCACTGGAACAGGTTGTCCAGGGGGGCTGTGGAGTCTCCCACATTGGAGCTATTCAAGGCCCGCCTGGACAAGCTCCTGTGTGATGTACTCTGGGTTACCCTGCTCTTGCAAGGGGTTGGACCAGATGATCTCTTGAGGTCCCTTCCAACCCTTGGGATTCTGGGATTGAGAGCGCACCTTCAGGAGGCTGCAGCATGCCTCACTCACCCTGCTCCTGCCTTTCCCCCATGTGGCTGGGTGAGGGTTTCACTGGTGGGACCCACAAGCAAAGGGGAAAGTGCTCTGGGTCTGCTGCAGCCCCCATGTGTCCCAGGCAGCGGTTGAGGTGTGTGTGCAGGGCAGGCACTGGATGGACCATGCGGGGGTTTGGAGAACAGGAATGGTGCTTTGGGAGCAGGGGTGTTTTCTAGAGGAGGATGTGCCAAAGCCACCAGCACTGCGGCCAGGGACACCCCGGTTGGCACCGTGGAGGGTCAGGGATGCTGATAGGACCGGGTGTTGAGTGTGTGTTGGCTGGATGCCCTCTCGCATTGCTTCTATTGCACTGTGGTTGTCTCCAGGGTCATTTCTTGCTTTAGAAACAGAGGTCAGCGGCTGTGGAGAGGCCTGGAGCCATCAGATTTCTGCTGCGAGTAATAATTGTGCTTGTGATGGCAAGTGGCCCTGTGGGGACATTGCTGGCTCCTGAGAGGCCAGGGCCATGGCAGCTGTGGGGAGGGAGGATGGAACTGGACTTGGAGGCCAGTGCAGTGCTGGGTGTCACTGGTGGCATGAGGACACTACAGACCCATCAGAGTGGGTTGGGGCAAGGAGCGGTGGTGTGGAGAGGCTGATGTATCACAGTATCACAGTATCCCAGTATGGTAGAGATTGGAAGGGGCCTCAGAAGCTCATCCAGTCCAATCCCCCTGCTGGAGCAGGAGCACCTAGATAAGGTTACACAGTTGTGGTTGGACCTGGTGTGGAGCGCTTGTAAATGTTCAGTGAACAGGTACAGCAGCAAGAGCTGAGCAAGGAGGAGCCACAGAATAGAGCAGAAAGGAGGCAAAGTTCCCAAAGGGCTTTCACCTAAAGGTGACAATCACTTGGAGGAGGAAGCTATCCTCAGTGCATCCCAGGAGCTCCTTAGACTGCCTGTGCCCTGCTGTCCCTGCAGCAGGTAAAGGGGTGTTCAAGTCCCCTGGGAGGACCAGGGCTTGGGACAAGGGCCTGTAGGGCCAGGCCAAGGGGAATGGCTTGAACCTGCCCGAGGGGAGACTGAGCTGAGCTCTTAGGCAGAAGCTCTTCCCTGTGAGGGTGCTGAGGCGCTGGCACAGGGTGCCCAGAGAAGCTGTGGCTGCCCCATCCCTGGCAGTGCTCAAGGCCAGGTTGGACACAGGGGCTTGGAGCAAGCTGCTCCAGTGGAAGGGGTTGGAGCTGGGTGAGCTTTAAGCTCTCTCCCAGCACAAACCAGTCTGGATTCTGGGGAAGGTGGAAGCCTCCGTGGGAAGCAGCAGATTCTCTGTCTCCGGTTTGCAGAGCGGCAGAAACAAGAAACAAACTGGGTTCAGGTTTGAGTCACAGAGACTGGAGTCACGAGGCTTCCGTCTGGTGGCAGGAGAACATCCAGGCAGCAGAGCTGGAAAGCTCTCAGCATCTTCCTGGCGCCAGGAAGCGTGAATCATGGTGCTGAGCCCCAGCAGCCGCAGCCTGCGGAGGGAGGGCTGGAGGCGCCAGGCTCAGGGGGACCCGGGCAGCAGCCAAGGGGATCCCCACACGTGTGCAGGAGCCGTGAATGCACTGTGTTAAATACTCACTTAACCCAATGCTGTAATTCCCACTTAAAACCAAATCCCCTTCATGTTGTTCCTTTATGTTAAACCATCTGGCACTGGGTGTGCTCCTGCTTCTGCCTTTGTCCCTATTAGAAGGATGCTGATGTGTGGCTCCTTTGGCTGGGGTGGCCCCCAGAGCCTGTGGGCTCTGTGGTGCTTTGAGCACAGAGAGGAGCCCTCATCCCACTGAGGCTGCTCCTGCACATGGGGGTACGAGCAGGAGATGTGTTGGAGTGATGCTGGTGCTGAACATCGCTGTGATGTACCTGCCCAGCGCAGACTGGTGCTGCTATACTGGGAGGGGGTGGGAGCAGGCGATGTGTGTGCAGGATCCTGGCCCATGGCTTGAGGGAGGGAGGGGTCAGAGAATGGAGGGACAAGGGCTCCACTTTGGAAACGGGCAAGAGAGCCTGAGTGAAGAGCATGGTGCTGGTTCTGCCCCTCTGCTGAGGGATGGGGCAGCCACAGCTTCTCTGGGCACCCTGTGCCTCAGCACCCTCACAGGGAAGGGCTTTGCCTAAGAGCTCAGCTCAATCCACGCCCCCACCGTGTCACTGACCCCATGGAGGGATGCTGTGGGACTGTAGGGCTGGTGGCAGGGTAGGAGCAGGGGCTCATTCCCATGTTGGACACGGTGGGAAGGTGTTTCTGGCTCCTCCAGCCGTGCAGCCATGGCCAGGCCTGTACCTGCTCACATCAGCTCAGCTGAGCAGCAGGTTCTGCTGCTGTCTGTGTGTTCAGGGCTGGTGTTCTCCTCTGGGAGCTGAGGTGCAAGGTAATGCCCCTGTGGCGCGTTCCCTCCGCACCTGAGGCTTCCCTTTTCCTTGCAGTGATGCCGCTAGCTCAGACAGGGAGATGCTGTTCTCTGGGAGATGCCATAACTCAAAGGGCTGAGAAGGATTAGCCCAAAAGGATGGTGAGAGCGCTCCTGAGGCTGTGCCATGTGTGCAGTCTGCAGGCCTAGGGCTGCTGGCCTCATGTGAATAAGAGCAAAGTATGAACGTGTTCAGGGTTCAGAGCTGACTTTGGTCGGATGCACTGCTTGAATCTGTTCATGACCTTGAAGCCTCATTCTTCCCTGCCACTAAAAGGGGAAAGCCAAATAAACCCCTCCAGGGAACGTGCTCTGAGAAGTGAGGAAGCTGGTTCTTGTGTCGCTGGCACTAACAAGTGAGTTGTAAACCCAGTCAGTTGTCGGCCTCAGCCCCTTGTGCCTCCTGGGACCCACAGGCTGTGACAGCTCTTACGGATGCTGTTCCCACTGAATTCAGGAGACCCTTCAGAAATGGGAGTGCAAAACCTGTGTGTTGGGAAAGGGCAACCCCATGGTGCTGAGACACAGAATCCGTGGCATTTACCAAATGGACATTGTGTTGCAGAAAGACTTTGCGTGTTCCCACCTTGGAAAGGTGCTGCAGGTGATGGGCAGCGGCCATGGACAGTGATCCCTTGCGATGTGAGCTACCCATACAGGAGAGCAGCACCCTGCTGTGGGCTGGGCTGTGCCCTGGGTGAGGAAGCACCGAGGAAGTGTGACCCTGGTGGACAAGACCCGCAGTGTGACTGTCACCAGCTTTCCTGTTGGGGCTGCTGTGGGGCAATGGGATGTGGGGCAAGTGATAGCTCTGAGCTGGGTGAGGGCAGCGAACACCATGACTGCGGTGGTGCAGGGAGGAGGCAGCAGAAGGGATGCTGCCCAGGCTGGGAAGGCCCTTGGGAAGAGATGGGCTGCTGGAGCTGGATGCGGGAGCAGCCGTGCGTGCTGGCACGGTGTGTGCTGGTGGAGGCAGCGTGTGATGAGGGATGGAGGGGCTGTGCTCCCCAGCCCAGGTTGTGTTAACAGTGGCTGAAGTTGGTCAAGGCTGGAGCGAGGATCCAAGACGTGAGGATGACAAACAGGGGTCTCTTGCTGCTTGCTGGTTTGCACTGCCAGAGGTGTCATCTGTGTCCCGGCCCCCCCTCTATGGAACAAACACCCAGAACCATGGAACCACAGGGTGGTTTGGGTTGGAAGGGACCTTAAAGCTCCTCCAGTTCCCCCAGATCCAAACAGATGGTTTGGCTTCCCTGTGGGATCGATGAGTGCCTGTTTGCTGCTGCCCTGAGTGGCTCTTGTCACACAGCCGGTGGGGGGCACGGGGTCCAGGGAGGGTGAGGAACCCCCGTGCTGGTGTCCTGCCTTCTCCCCATAGTGTCAGCTCTGCAGACTGCAGCAGCCCTTGAACGAGGGCCAAGCTGCGTGTCCGTGGCCGATGGGTGGCTCCAAGTGATGGAAGGGGATGTTTGTTCTGTCTGAACATTAACTGGTTAAATCGCTGGCCTTTGTTAATGATTTCTGAAGCACTGCTGTGGGTTTGGTCCGAGACCTTGGGAAGCTGAATGAACCTTCTCTGTTCTTCAGCTGGAAATGCAGGGGAGGCATCGATTTCCCCGGAAGGGAAATTCCATGCTCAGACACATTCATGCATGCCTGGTGCACAGGACACTGGTGACAAACATCTACACAGGAGGATGCAGCTCCCAGAGCTAGGATGCCTCTCTGATCATGTACTTGCTCTTCAGCTTCCTTTCTGAGAGGTATCATTAGAAGCTGACCCAGTGCATCAGCTTACTGATGCTGTCAGCTCCCTAGCCCTGGGACACCCAGGAACACGTGTGAACTGGGTGCTGCTGCTGGGTAGGATGTGCTCCTGGGGATGTGAATGAGAGGCACTGGCAAGACCAGAACTTTGGGTTAGTACCTGGGGTGTGTCTGGTGGGAGCATAAAAGCAGAACTGCTCTGAGGCACTGTTGCATGTGCCAAGGTAGAGTGTTGGGCTGTGTCTTGGTCCCTGGAGCCCCAGGAATCATGGAATCAGTTTGGATTGGAAGGGACCTCAAAGCTCCTCCAGCTCCAACCCCTGCCACGGGCAGGGACCCCTTCCACTGGAGCAGCTTGCTCCAAGCCCCTGTGTCCAACCTGGCCTTGAGCACTGCCAGGGATGGGGCAGCCACAGCTTCTCTGGGCACCCTGTGCCAGCGCCTCAGCACCCTCACAGGGAAGAGCTTCTGCCTTATCTCCAACCTGAACTTCCCCTCTTTCAGTCTGAACCCATCACCCCTTGTCCTGTCACTGCAGGCCCTGATGAAGAGCCCCTCTCCAGCATCCTTGTAGCCCCCCTCAGACACTGGAAGCTGCTCTGAGGTCTCCACGCAGCCTTCTCCTCTCCAGGCTGAACAGCCCCAATGTTCTCAGCCTGTCCCCATATGGGAGGTGCTCCAGTCCCTGATCCTCCTCGTGGCCTCCTCTGGACTTGCTCCAACAGCTCCATGTCCTTCTTATGCTGAGGAGCCCAGCACTGTACCGAGTGCTGCAAGTGGGGTCTCACCAGAGTGCAGTAGAGGGGCAGCATCACCCCCATGACCTGCTGGAGGAGGTGATCCTTAGTGGCCAGGGTCAGCAGTGCAGCAAGGCAAGAGCCAAGGAGAGCAGGGATTTACCAAGACAGTCGATCCCCTGGTGCAAAGCACAGCGCTGCACCCATCCCAACAGTGCTGTTCATCCCTGGATGCTCGCCCGCATCCCTCGGGATGCACTGGCCCCAGCTGGGCTGCCAGGAGAGATGCAACACCACACTGGGACAGGGAACACAAGAACCACCACGCAGAGGGTGAAATGGGTCAGGTCACCTGCACAGGAGGTACTGGGAACATCTACACACAGTGTAAGTGATTCCCACAGCACCAAACCCCATCACCAGCACGGCAGAGGATGATGGCCTCAGCTGCGGGCACAAGCACTGCTCTTCCAGGGGGAGAACATTGCAGCCCTCCCTGCTCAGGGTCACTTCTCCCTCAGAGCTCTCTCACCTCACAAGTGACTGGGAGAGAAATCCACCTCCTGCTTCAAGCCCCTTCAGCTCCTGCAGGAGAACAGAAGCCCTGCAGGGAACCACAGCTGCTGCCAGCAATAGCACAGCCGGGATTGACACCCCCAGCACCAGGACACCAGCCCAAGATGCCTCTTCCCATCACCTGACTGTGTGGGTTTAACCCTGCTCCTTCCACTCCTGCCTCTCCACACCCCTCAGCTCCTCCCTGCTGCCCGTCAGCGATGATGTGAACCCATCCCAAGGGATGATGCTTGAGTGTGGCCCCACTAAACCCCTGTGGGCAAGAACAGCAGTGACCGAGGGGAGACTGAGCTGAGCTCTTAGGCAGAAGCTCTTCCCTGTGAGGGTGCTGAGGCGCTGGCACAGGGTGCCCAGAGAAGCTGTGGCTGCCCCATCCCTGGCAGTGCTCAAGGCCAGGTTGGACACAGGGGCTTGGAGCAAGCTGCTCCAGTGGAAGGGGTCCCTGCCTGTGGCAGGGGTTGGAGCTGGATGAGCTTTAAGGCCCCTTCCAACACAAACCAGGCTGGGATTCCATGAATGTTAAAGCAGATTTAAGGTCCCTTCCATCCAAACCGTTCCATGATTCTACAGGGAGTGACCCTTGTACCTGAATTTTGTGTCTGGTGCTTTGTGTGTTACCTTCAGCATCCCCGTGGCACCCGCATCCTGCAGGGAGCCAGGGCGAGGGGTCAGGAACTGCATGGCTGCAGTGGAGTTCCATCAGTGCAGGGCTCTGCCTCGGCTCATGGGCTCTGCTGGGATGGGGCAGTGGGGCAGGTACTACTCAAAGGGCTCTAGAATAGATACGTGACCTATAGCATGCCTCTATAATGTTAGATAGGTGCCTTGACTGCTCCATGGCATGGCTCTGTGATGCTGGACACAAGACCTGCTGCTTTATGACATGGCTCCATGGTGCTGACTTTAGAAAGATGCTTGGTTCTGCAGACTGAGCACTCTGAGCCTGAATTGGTTTAAGCAGGGTTCACAGCCCAACATGAGTTTGTCTCATCCTCAGAAAGTTCCATCTGGGTGGTGTTTTCTGACTGACTCCTTACCACAATCCCCTTAGCATGGGAGGGAAATAGCACAGCTGAATCTGTGGGGCCCAAGCTTTGGGATATGCGGGCTCCTCTGCAGAGCTGCTTCTGGAAGTATAAAGCTTCCCTCCTAGAGAATGAAATCTTGATGAGATAAAGTACACAAGGTAATAGGTGATGGCATCTGGGACAGGAGGCCTCTGAGAAGAACCGGGCAGCTTTCTGCATCCCGTTTGGTATTTTCAGATTTATCTTTCTTCTATTTTCCAATCTTCAAAGAGAGATTGGAAGTGAAGCGCTTGGGAATTCATTTCTCTGCATAAAAGATAGGATTTTTCTATATCAAATTAGGGGAAAATGTTGAAAATGGTTTTTTTTTCTCTGGGTGAAGCTCCTTTGTGCATGCAGCGGCTGCGCAGGAGCTCCGGGAGCCAAAGCAGCTCCTGAGCCTTGGCTGCAGCTCCAACCCCAGCCATCCCTCAGCCCACGCGCAGCATCTCTGCTCTGTCAGACCCTGTCCCAAAGCCAGCTCTGAGTCAGATAAACCCAAACCCAGGCAGCTCGCAGCCAAAGGGGGGAAAACCTGCCCGGGGAAAGCATGAGCTGGGTGTTAGCACACGGGGGTTGTCCAGTGTCTGCCTGGCAGCGCTGCAGCTTCCAGAGCCCAGGAATGCAATGAAGGGATGTGTTCATCAGTGCAGCTACCCAAGAGGGGAGAAGGGGAAAGCCACCCCGTGCAGCACCCAGGCGGGCTCACAGGGGGGCACTCAGTGCCCTCGGAACACACAGGTTTAGACTTGGGCAGAAGACAGCAGTGACACCAGGTACAGAGCCCAGTTCCATGCATCTGGTGCAGCAGCTGTACCCATTGTGCTGTACAGCAGTGCTGGAGTAGTTTGGTTTCTCCTGGTGTGGGTTAGGTTCTGAGGGCAGGTGGGTGACAGGCCTGTGAGATGAGTCTGTGACAAGAGCACTGGACCCGATGCTGCAGCAGGATGCGGGTACCGCTGGGATGCAGCTCAGCCAGCGCCACCACTGTACCATGGACAAACATGTCCAGTTACACGTGTGTTGGTGTGCCTGCTGTATAGGAACTGAAAGTGCTTTAGCAGGGGCTTTGTGCTGGGACAGAGTGGGGTGGCAGTCTCTGATGGTTTCCATAGGGTGATCCTGCATTCCCAGTCTTGAGGACTGCAATAGTAGGATCCTGTCCATTGTATATTCACTGCCCTGGCTCCTGGTGGGTGCTGCCCCATTATTTGTCATAGAATCCTAGACTGGTTTGTGTTGGAAGGGACTTTAAAGCTCATCTGGTTCCAACCCCTGCCATGGGCAGGGACCCCTTCCACTGGAGCAGCTTGCTCCAAGCCCCTGTGTCCAACCTGGCCTTGAGCACTGCCAGGGATGGGGCAGCCACAGCTTCTCTGGGCCTAGGGTCTCCCGAGTGGGGGTATTCCTCTGGTGGCTTCTATCTTCGTGTCAGGCTGTTAACACCGTGCTGTGTTCCCCTGGGCCTCCCTGCCTGCAGGCTAACCTGAAGAAGTTCATGGAGTACGTGCAGATGCTGAACGTGGAGAAGGTCTGCAGGCTGCTGGAGAAGGGACTGGACCCCAACTTTCATGATCCGGATACTGGAGGTGAGGCTGGCTTCTACCGAGAGGGGAGGCTGACAGAAGAGGGTTAGGGGAGAAAGGATCTGGGGGGACACATTGGGGTGGTTGTTCTTGGGGGGGTGAACAAACAGTGTGTTATGGTCTGCAGTGTACGGTTTGGAACATAGGGATGCCAGTGGCATTGCTCAGCAGTGTGTCTTCTTATGAGGCTGGGTCTTGGGAGCATGAGGTTACAGAAGGCTCTTGGAGGAGATGGTGTGTGTGTGGGGAGGACACAGAGCTTGGGGATACAGCACAGAGTGACAGCTGTGGGGCCGTGCAGCCTTGGCTGGGTTCTGGGGGGCACGAGGCTGTCTCTGGGGCAGGGTGCATGCAATTGGCTGCTCGAGGATCTCTCCATGAAGTCATCAGAAGGTTCAAGAAGTGCTTTGGGGGCCAAGAAAACAAAACCTTGGCCTCTGGTTTCCTCATTTTACTTTTCTCTCTGGTTGAGCAAAGTTCTCCCCATGAAGCCGTCACTGGAGCACCGGTTTCTGGGGTTCCTGCAGGCTGTAAAGAGTGAGATGAGACCCCAGCACTGATAGGGCAGGGAGGAGGGAGCTCTGCCCATCTGCCCTGCGGTGCAGTCCTGTTCGGAGCGAGGGGTTTCTGCTGCTGTTGCTCCTGTTGGAAGTGATGCAGCTGATGGGTATTCACCATGAGCTCAAGGGCTGTGCGTGAGCCACGGGCACGTTCCAGCCCCAAGCGGGCTCCAAGCCGATAATCCATTCTCTGTGTTTCTGGTTCAGTGGGATGATGCCTCAGGCTGTTTCTGGAGCACCGGCCGCCTCCGTACTGGGGTATTCAGTGTGTGCAGCCCATGCCTCAGCCCTGAGGTCAGGCAGCAATGGGTGGTGCTGGTCACGGTTCAGCTCTCTTGTCCTCCTGGATAATGCGGCTGCAAACAGGCTCCCTCTGGGAATGGCTCTTGCCAGCTCCTGGACTGGGAGGTGAAAGCTGGTGCAGCCAAACGCTGGCAAGAGCCATGTGAACAGTGCCCAGGAGCGCTCACACTGCTCATCTGCTGCTGTGGCTGCTCTGGCTGAACCCACTGCTGTCCGTATGAGCTCATATGGGGAACAGCTGACAGCCTCTAAGTGTGGGCCCTGTCTGCCCCAGAGCATTCCCAAGCAGCTCAGCTCCCTGTGACCTCCAGTTTTGCCCAAGCCCTTACGAGTATTTTGAGGGATCTGTCCTTATAAAGGGTATTCTCTGAGCTGATGCAGCTTTTAGAGCACATTCCATTGCAGGGTTCAGTGTGCTGCTTGAAAAGATGCCGTGAGCTTTGGATCTTGTACATTTGAACCCAGACATCCTTTCACAGGAGGGAAATGGCTCTAGGAGTATAAGAGACTGTGTTAAATGTAGAGAGGGAGAAGGAGAAACATGACCCGGATCCAGTTCAGAACCAAGGGCAAAACCAGAGTGGATGCGATGAGATGTGAAACCAGTGTTGGAGCACATGAGTCTTGGACACCTCGCTCTGGACTCCTTGTGCAAACCCACGTCATGACTGTCTGCCTTACAGGCTTTGTGAACAGGAAAGAATGACATAAACCTGCTGGTCACTGTTCAGGGCTCCTGGGATGTGTGACCAGATGGAGCTATTGTCCCATCGACCTGACCTCCTGTCCCTCGCAGGATGTTCTTCGCCCCCTGTGTGTGTGCTCCATAAGCAAAGCTTAACATGTTTCCCAGAAAGCCATCAATCCTCCAGGGAACAGGGATCCGTTTCCCTCCTTCCTCTGCTTAATCACCCTCACTGTTTAAAATCCCCTTCTCATTCAGATCTGTGTGCTTCAGCTTCCAGCTGTCCTTACACTTTATCTTCTAGATTAAAGTGCGCTTTAGTACCTGGTGTGCCTTCACATGAAGGTATTTATACACGGTAATCAAGTCAACATTCTGTCTTCCTTGCCTTAATTAAAGAGAGGCCAAACTCCTCCAGGCTTGCATTTGAAGGTATTTTCTCCAGCTTTCCCATCATTTCTGTGGTTTAGGTGTCACTATTCCATTCTTAAGAGGCTTTTAACAAGCCTGTGCCACTCACAGCCCTTAATGCAGCTCCCTGCTCCCTGCGTTTGAGAGGCTGGGGGTGAATGTGTGGCTCTGGATGGGACCCCACGTTATGTCCTGATAGATGGAGGGGATTTGGGGTTTTCTTCCAGGCCCTCCTACCCCCACCTTAACATGGGGTTACTTGGCCTGTGTTGGTTAAATGAAGTGGATCCTTGCTTGGGAGCTTCCAGAGAAGGGAATGGAGCTGGAGCAGGGCCTGGAGCACAGGGGAGATGGGGAAGGGCTGAGGGACCGGGGGGGTTCAGATGGAGAAGAGAAGGCTCAGGGGGGACCTGATGGCTGCCTCCAAGTGCCTGAGAGGAGGATGGAGCCAGGAGGGGCTGGGCTCTGCTCCCAAGGAACAAGGGATGGGACAAGAGGAACCGGCCTCAAGCTGCACCAGGGCAGGGTTAGATGGAGCTGAGGAACAATTCCTGCCCCAGAGGGTGCTCAGGCATTGGAACAGGCTGCCCAGGGCAGGGCTGCAGGCACCGGCCCTGCAAGGGTTCACACATCCTCAGTGCCATGGGGCAGTGGTGGCCTTGGCAGTGCTGCGGAACGGTTGGACTGGATGAGCTTGAAGGGAATCAAGCACCCAGGTTGATTCCATGGTGTAAGTGTTTTTCAGAGGTTGTTTTCCTTCCTGCTTGTTCCCAATGGATGATGGAAGGGCATCGGCTGCTGCTCCCCCCAGCATTGCTGACCCACAGTGTGGCCCCAGGCTAGGGGGATTCTGTAGAAGCCTGACCACAGGGAGCAGCTACTGCAGCACATCCCTCCCAACCTATAGCATCTCAAATGCATCCTGCAGGGTTTCCATATCTTGTTGTTCCTTATTCTGGGATTGCCCAGCCCTGGTTTCTCCTCGAGCTCTTCCTTGGCATCTTCATTGCTCCTGGAGCTCTTCCTGTGGCATCTTCAGATGTATCAGATGTGCATTCCCTTCAGGATAATTAGGATCTCAACAGAGTCAAGTCCAGCACCTGAAGAGCCTCTTCATCACCCTTGTGGTTGCCTCAGTGATCGCTCTTAGTGCTGCTCTTCAGAGGGATTTCGGATCACTGGGATGTGTCTGACTTATGTTTTAAACCCCCCATTTTAATGCCATGTAGGATGCAGCCAAGCGTGAGCCTTGCATCAGCACAGCTATCTGCACCCATCAGACTCCTAATTTACCGAGGAAGATCTAGTTACTCTAAAGCCTGGTAGAGCAATATTAATAATATAAGTGTTCTTTATTAAATTCCAAATCAGTTTTCCCAGGGTCAGTGTTGCTGTCTGACTTGTAGCTTCATGGATCATTTTACTTGCCCCGTTTTGAACGTTGGCCTGACACTGGTTTGATTCTGGCCTTTTGGAATGCCCCAACACTTCAAAATCTGTTCTTGCACCAGGAAGATCTTTAGGGAGAAGAGAAGGAGCATGATCCCCAGCATTCACTAGGTGCAAACAGTTCGTTCCATCTCGGGTAGCTCATGCCAAAAACCCTTGTTTGGTCGTGGGAAGGAAACCAGTTTATTTCCACAGCAGCAAAGGGACAGTAAGTGATGGGACATTCTGCTGCCTGTATTTATTCACAATCAGACACTCCCTGCTGGTGACTGACCGGCTTGCACAGGGCTGGGACATCATCTGGTATGACCAGATTTAAACTGCTCTCTGATCATCGTTTGCTAGGCCAGAGGTGCATTTCTTCACTTTGTTCTGTTGTTACTCTTCGTTTTCCAATGCCCACTTCATATTGAACACCTTCTGTTTTATCGTGTCCTGTTGTTGGGTTGTCTCTGTCCCCTCACCACTGACCTGTGAGCAGCACGTGCCGTTGGGTGTCCTCTTTGCTTTATGGAGCTGTAGCTCTTGGTCGCACAGAAATTGGTCTTTAGGACTTCCCAGTCACCTTGTACTTTTAATCTTAAACATCCTACATTACCTGTGATCGATTTTCTCATGCACTTCCCTTGGTTGATTCCCTTAGGAAGCATCAAATACTCACCTAGCTAGTTGGGACTTTCAGTGTCATTCCTAGTTGACTTGATAGCAGGCAGTTATTTAGCAGGTTTCTATTCCTTACACTGAGATCCAAAGCAGCATTCCCTGATGTTTCAGTGAAACGGGATCTATAGAAAAGGGATCATTTTTCTCCTTTTTGGAAAATGATGTATTTTACGCTTGTTGGATGGGACACCCAGCACTCTCCTTCAAGCTGAAGTTGCCCCAGGAGTGATTTGTGTGACTTGGAGATGAACACACTGAAGTTAGTGCTTTTGTTTTTAGGTGGCGATCTGCAGCATCATCTTTTGAAGGACCTTTTCCCTTCCTAGTCCACAGACTTTCAAAGCCCTGCTCTCACTGATCAGCGGCCCTACAAGAGATGATGGGATTGTATTTTAAACTCTCCTCCTTGCCCACTCACGTAGCAGCAAGTGACTGTAACAAGGCTGTCTCACTCTCATACAAGTGCCTGGTGTGCTCCAGGCTGGGGTGATTCTCTGCAGTTGTACTGCTGATTATGGCACCGCTCTTCCAGCAGTAAGAGAAGTTCAGGTCCTTCTTCTTGCTCTCTAGCATTCTGCAATGAGCAAAGAGGAAGACAAAGAACCCTCCTCGCGGTCTTTGTCAGATGGATTTAATCACATCTGACACTGCACCGGGGCTGCACTTCCCTCTTTGGAACCATTTCATCTGGGTTCTTAGGTTAACCTCTTCCTGATCGCTCTGCCCATTTCTCCGCCACCATCATTATCTAGTCCCAGTGAAGTGGGGTTCCCTGAGGATCCTCCCAGATGGGCTGGTGCTCCTCAACCCAATGTTCTTGGGTTTGCTCCCCTCACGTGGCTGAGGAGTCACTTCCAGTGGGTTTTGCCTGATGCCTCCTCTTGCTTGTAGGCCTGACGGGACCTCGGGGATGAGCACATGGACTTTCTGTC